CTGGTGCAATGTGCCTGCAGTCAGCAGTTGCTGTTTGTTATTTCCCCCAAATTATAACTACAGCTTCGTGGACTCATAGTCGACGGTCATCATCTGTTACTATGCCAAGAAAATTTACAATAACTCTAGTTTACGTAAATTCAACAATAAACTCGTTGCTTTACTATTGGAATATCAGAGGAGTGAGACAATCGGTTAAAGAAATAATCAGAGAAACACTTTGCTGCTCATAAATGACAAGGCTGGGGCCTTGAAGAGCTTATAGTCAGCTAATAGAATTGATGATGGTTTAAGCTTTGCTAAGAGCTCAGTGCACTTTCGGTAAAAGAGATCCTTCCTTCCGTCAAATTTCCAGTTCTTTGTATGCCGTCTTATAACGACTGAAGCAGCCGTCATTAAGAGATAACAGTGTGAAAAAATACTAATTTCCGCTATCCATTTGACTTATTTTGCGTAAGCAGTGAAAAGGAACAGGTGGCGTATAAAAAAAAATAGACAATTACCATTTCGACATGTATAGTATAATAAACGCTAATAGTTCCGTTTTCTTTGAAGTGTGGTCTCTACCAACCACAATCTTCCTTTTTTGTTAATTTTTGTGAAAAGCCTAGTTTGTCTCGACAAAACTTGAATTGTAAAATCCACACACCTCTTGCAAAGAGTATAATGAACCGTGCAGGCCTTATTTTCACTACTGCTCAAGTAATGTTAATTACTGTGAGGATCACTTTCATATTTACGTCTTTATCCGCGGTATTTATATGTGACTTCCATATATTCTCAGTCAAGTATAGTGAACGTAGCTCCCAGCGTTGTTGTCTGCCTATAATTTCTGACTAAGATTTTAATTCATAAAGTAAAAACCCTTGGGTCTTTTCACGATCATTTGGCTTCATTACACATAAACAATAGTTTCTAAATTTTACCAAATGCGACCCAGTTGGTTTAATATTCGAGGCTTCCTTAAGTGCTTATCGAACAAAGCGTAATTTTTCTAGACATAGCCAGAGGGGTAAACATTTGACCAATCATATTACACGAACCATATCATGTGGAACTTTTTTAAAAGTATTATTTCTTTTTCCCACATATTTAGCAACTATTTACTCGAGGCAAAGTGAATATTGTCGGAAAATCCCCCAGACGAAGTGAGAAGGATTATTCAACAATATTTACTGAGCCTGAAGTGAATAATCATTTTTTTTAATTTGGAAACCATTCCGTGCATAAAGAAGACTTTGTTGCATTTGTTTTTATTACTCGTGTCGAGATAATAAGCCAGAATTTAACAACAAATACTTCACATCGTAGTTTTGAAGAGGTACGCTTAACCTAGTAGCATCTGGTTTCTGCTATCGAGTTTATCACTTCCCGGAAACATTCGGAAAAAACGCGAAGCAGCCTGTAATCACCTTGCACGGGGTGATTATAGCCAGATACGACGCAACCCTCGACCAATCTGAGCGTGAGAATTTCCACAATCACAAGAGCAATTGTACTAAGTGAAAATGTTGCGTGTGACACCAAAATCTTGCTCTCTAGATAGTAGAGTGTATTAAAACCGTGGACATTCTTTTTAAAACCAGAGAACATTGCTTAAAGAAAGTCAAGAAAAACAATACCCCCTTGCTCCATTATACATTAGAGGTGGAAAAAGCTTTTCACACAAATTAGCGAAAAACGTTTTGATATATTAGCTGAGACTGCTGTTGAGCAAAACGCGAGTAATAGCGTAATTTGTCGTAAAGAAATTGATGAAATAACAGTATTTCTCCTATTTCGAAAATATGACAACTTCATCTGATGCAGTTGACGAATCGTTCTATTGTTACCTAGGAAGATATCAGTGTTATCATGGTAACTGTGTTCATCAACATGGCGGTGTAACTTTCCACGACGGTTTTCTTTGTTTAATTAACGAATGTTGCTAAGACCGAATTAAATTCTTTTGATAGCTAATAGCAAGACATCTTTTTTTACAAACAATTGTTTCTTTTTTCACGTCAGAAATTAAAGCGGTTTTCTTGCGGGTGATCTCTTCGTTCGGCGTTATTTAAATTTGTTTTAAAAGCGTTCTTTTATCCAAACACAATATCTATAAAATAAACAGAACTTTACAGGTCTGCATGTGGATAAGAATTCATCTTCTGCCGTTGATGATACATTTGATTGGTTCGCTTCACTCACTCGTGAGAGATATTATTAAAATTCGCAGTTGAAATTCAAATCCAAGCACTGCACTTAATATGTCCTTTTTTCCATCAGCTAGGTATATATTAAAATTAGCGGTGTCAATTATGGGAAAGAAAAGCTGCTCTTTTTAAAATTTACATCCTGCTCTTATACGTCATATCGATGAAGGAAATTAAGATTGTTTAACAATATCACCTATAAATGACTGACGGCTTGAGTCTCAAAAACTGCTATCAAAAGAATTGGAAATCTGCTACAAGCCCTAACTAAAGCTTAAACCTTAATCAACTCCATAAGGTGGCTGTAAGCACCTTAAGGACCATTTCAAGCCTTAAATTTTTTAGCAGCAAAGTGTTCGTCGGAGTAATTCCTTCACAGATTGTCTCACCTCACTAATCTTCCAGCAGTAACGCAAAGGCCGGGGTTTAGTGACGAATTAAAGTAAACTAGAGTAATTGTCTGGGCACAATAATAGTCAACTACTATCCACTATAGGTCCACAAAGCTGTGGTTATACCATGTGGAAGATAACCAACAGCAACTGCCACCTGCAACTAAATTACACTGGACACTCCTATTCGGTGACCTATCTTTTTTATTGTATTTTTCGAAACAGACGTTGGTAGGGAACATTTAAGGAAAGTTGAAAACAGTTGTTCGATAACACTTTTTTCTGAGAAATCACCTTAAACCAGAATAATTCGAAAAAGCTGGAAAGAGTTCTTATTTTACGAAATGCGAGAGGAGTAATTTGTAGACATGTGACATTGGTGATTGTTCAGGAAACTCTGTATCAAAATTGCAGTGAGGTTGTAATGTAAGGCGATCTTCCTCCGAGAAAAAGCAGGTTGAAATCAAATGAAGTTGAACCTCGATTTTACGTCGCTATCTTGAGTCAGGGGATCCAAACTAATCGCAAGGATTTAAAGTGAAGAGATAGATCAGAAGCACTTAAATCTCCATCAGTGTTATTGACGCGTAATACATCTTGCTCTACCATCTGTTTTTTTTTCCGCTCTATATGAAATTAAAGAGTTCATGATTTTAAAGATGTCATATCAAGGGAATATGCTGAATGGAACAATAAAATTAGTACAAAAATCTTAGTAAGCTCGGGTACTATAAAGCCGGCAGTTACCAAATAAGGAGAAATTTTGGCTGCTTCAAATATGTTACTAGGTGTTCAATTTTCTCCCTTTAATAACCTCAATAGTTTTACCATCTTCTTCTCTTTTTATCTCAGCTATAACTTAAAGCAATACTATAATCCTAATACCTGCTGTTATAGTTTCATCATACAACTCTTTCGCGACCAAAGTTTACTGATTATGCATATTAATTCAGCTTATAACTTCTGTCTAGGTAGCCTATTTTTGTATTCGAACACTTGTTATCGATATTGATTGTAACCGTAAAAGTGAGACAAAAAGTAAAACAATAACCATTTATACTACAAAGTAGTCTTTGTTGAAGAAGTTGTTAATATTTTGGGCAAACTATTCTTGTCATAAATACTTTTGATTCCAAAACTCCAGCAGTCGAGACTCGAACTTAAACTCGGTTTTTATCAGCGGAATCCTAGAGAGTCAAACAACTTTTCATATTTTCTTTGTTCTTTATCAAGAAAAATAAAAAAGATGCGTTTGGAAGTAGTCTTGGAACATTTATTTCTTTCCTGTTTCACTTGTCATCCAAACTGAAACGTCCACACCTAGAAACAATGACGGAAGTTACATCATGAAATGCTTTTCACCCCACTGTTAATGAAGTATCCGTTTTTATAACAGCGCTTCAGTAGAAAACTCCACTTGTGAAACCATTTCTGGGTTTGCAAATAATAACGAAGGGTTAAATACGCAAATCTTTTTATTGGATCGTGCACTGAGACTCAACTTATTTTTAACTCTGTTAATTTAATACATGATCTCTTGTCGAAAAAGAGTTAAAGCCAACGGATTCCTCTACTCCTTAACTCAATAATACTACTAAGATCTTTGGAAGTTGATACAGTTCTGTTTACTTTAACTTCTGGTGCAATAATCGTTCCCAGAGCTACAAATCCAACCCCTCAGGTTGGCATTATGAATACAAAACATGGTTTAACCCTTAATAACCCTTAAACTTCCATAAGTGATCAACATGACCTTCTCCCTACAATATCCACACATTATTCAGCAAACAGGTAATGAGAGTATTCAAAATTATCAGTTAGAAGCTGCTATCTTAATCTAGCACCAAGTTCTCATAACTAACTTACAAGGAAATGTGCAGCAGCTAGGGGGGAGAATTAACTAGCAGATCTTGGGAGTTAAATGGTTGACCCTTTGACCCCCAAGAGTGATTAGCATCTAATTTCTCCTTACGATATCACCCCTGAATCACATATCAAGGTCAAGAGAATATAAAAAATGATCACCAAAGAAGCTCTTGATTCTAGATTGTTAACCCTTTAAACACTAAGAGTGACCAGCATCTAATTTCTCCTTACAATATCAGCCCTGAATCATACGTTAAGGTCATGAGAATAAAGGAAATGATCACCAACGAAAGAAGCTTTTGATTGGTAAACAAATTTTTCTTGTCAGCACATTAGGAAATGTATAAAGAACTGTACAGAGAATATGCATACTGATTCTAAGGTGTAAATGGTTAAATTCTCCTTGTCAGCACCCTAGGAATGAACAGCTAACAGTATGGAGAATATGCGTGCTGGTGTTAGGGTGTAAGATATAATATTTTAGCTTATGCTGAAAGTCATTTCCCAAGATGTTGTTTACATACTTTTAATTGTTCACTTTATAGCCAACTAGATGTCAAGAAATATTTAATTTAGTTTCTTTATAAGCCTGTGGATCTCTAAAGCTTAACAAAACCCATCACATAACTGTAGCAATCTGGGGTTGAGATTGCTTCATTGCCAACAATGTCAGCAAATAAAAATGTTTAACAATTCAATACATAATAACTCTCCTTTGTCAAGAAGTCAATAAATGTTCCTCATGATCATTAGAAACTCTTTTTTTCTGTGGAGACAATTAATCTAACTAATAACAGAGAACTTAACATTTGGTCTATTACCCATCAAGAGAACATATCTATCCTAAACAGAGTCTCTCTAATATCTCTTCTTGGATGAACCAGCCCCCTCTGGAGACTTAAAATAGAAGTCAATTCCTCTATGCTGTGCCCTTGGTGTTTTTCTTGAGTCCTTCACTTTTGATGTGTGCCGGCTCCATTCTGGTGGGCAGACCATTGGCTTGGGATAGTTTTCCCCCAGAGTTACACCTGCGTGTTTCAGTTCTGATGATGACAACAGCCAAGGGGTGTGAACTTTGGCTCCTTTCAAACCAGCCAACTCTGGAACCCAAAGCCTCACAAAATCTCCATCTGCGTCATAATCAAGAGCTTGTTTGATCATATTGAACTTTCGATTTTCACGGGGATCATTGCCAACGCCTGCTGAGTAATTCCAATTGCCATAGTTACTGGATACATCGTGATCTAGAAGTAGAGATTCAAACCACTCAGCTCCCATGCGCCAATCAAGCCCAAGATCTTTTACCAAGAAGCTTGCCACATTTTGACGTCCACGATTGGACATCCATCCTGTGTAGAGTAGCTCTCTCATATTTGCATCCACAAATGGAACTCCAGTCTGCCCATATTGCCACTGTTCAAATGCCATCATATCTCGCTTCCATGGCAAACCTGTTTTCCTCATAATTCCTGACAGGTAAAAGATGGAGTTGCCATACTTGAGGCTGACGAACTTGAAATAATCTCGCCACAGCAGCTCAAAAATGACCCAGTAAGTGGACTGATTTGCTGTACACTCAGTTTCATACCTTTTAATGCAATCAAAGACTTTCCCTGGTGAGAGAGCTCCCACAGCTAGCCATGGGCTGAATTTTGTTGAGTAGTCTGATCCAATAAGTCCATTGCGAGTCTCTTTGTATCTTGCGACAAGATCTGTGTCCCATAGGTACTGATTAAGCCTTTTGAGAGCAGCAGTTTCTCCTCCAGAAAATGGGAAAGCTGATCTTGAATCTGCTGTTTCTTCTGAATAATCCTTTGCAAGTTCCTTTAAAGCTGGCATTCTGCCAACGTGATCATCTTTTAAAAATGCAGGCAGTGATTTTAGACAATCTGGGGCTGGAATCAAAGGCCGCACTCTGCATTTTGCCTCAACAGTTTTCCGAAATTCTGTGTATGTGTCAGGCAAAAACTTCACTGAGGCAAATGGTAAATCTTCCAAATGGTACAGTGTCAATCCCCAGAAGGACTTCACAATGACCTTTTTTGCTTCGCAAACCTTCATCAATTCAGCTTCTACATCTGTTTCTTCCTTTGTGATTTCTCTCTGATAAACAAGTGCAACATGTCCTTCATTCTTTTCCTGGCATAAACTAATTATGTCTGAAACTGCTTCCTTTGCTGTCTGCTCAGTGCGCACAACTAGGTCACTTCCAAGTTCCCTTAATGATTCTCTTAAGTCAGACACACTCTCCAGAATGAACTTGGCTCTGTGCATTGCTGTCTTTGCAAATTTGTAATGCCATGTTACAGCAGTGGGACTGAGTATGCTCTTGTCAAAGCAAAACAAAGGAATCACAAAGTCACTATTCTGATGTGCCCATTGTAAGCACTCGTTGTCATGAACTCGCAAGTCATTTCGCATGAGGTAAATAACAACAGATTTGCCCCTTGTGGCTTCCATGGTAGGGGTTACCTGTAATTAATAGTTTTATATCAATTACATGCTACTAGAATGGTAATGATAAAAAAATAAAAAAAAAATCTAGACAATTCAATAACAAAATCATTACATAACAGTGTATAAGTGTGTTTGGAAGAACCAAGTTTTAAACTGAATTAATGAATCTACTAAAATATAAAGACATAGACAGGTGTTTTGTAGTTTAACCTCCCTAATTATAGATATGGATATAAAAATTGATAAAGACATTCTGCATTTAGAAAAATTCCCGAAAGAGATAAAAGCCAGTTTCCTGTACAGACCACTGTTAATTATATGTGACACAAAATCATCCTCTATTCTATGACAATTTAAGGTTCCTCTAATAGTAAAACAATCCCAAATCCTTAAAAACTCTTCAAGCACCAATTTCAATAAGAATACTGTAAATAAAGATTATGTATAACTGAAAGCTGAAAGTCCATAAGAACAGACAAGCAAAAAATTACGTAACACAACAGAAGACTAAAAACTCAAATAATTGAACACTTTATTGACAATTTAAAAAAGGTGCAATAAAAAGTGGAAATTGAGGGTACCTAGAACAGATGTAGGTCTCTAACAAATTTGAAAAGCGGTGTTACCGAGAACAACAACTGCACTGTGCTTCCGGCTCGATTTGTCATGGACCTCGAACGGATCACTTAACGGTAAGCATCGGAGTCAGTCTTTAGCAAACAGTGATTACATTAAGACTAAGAATAAGCACTTTACCTCACGGTGTTGATATCTTCTCAAGGAATGAAGAAAATTTGTGCCAGCTGAAAAGAAACTCACTTGAATGTCTGTGAAAGTGTAGAAGTAGCCACGTTGAACTAAGAGTCGATTCATGGGTGTTGACACGGAAAAGACTGGGAACGAGAGAAAACAAAACATCGTTACCAGTTCCCGGCTTCATCCCTCGGAGACTCATTAGCACGATCGATAGGCCATTCTATGGGTTGGTTATTCGTGCGACAGGAATTTTGTAGAACAATCTGTGTATTGTGGCCGAGTTCCTGGGAACAGGGAAGCCAGACGATATAAAACTTTTAGAGAAAGTAAAATCACCTTTAATAAACAGGGGGAGAAAGTTAAGTAATCATGATCAATGCCCTAGAATCATTCTTGGAATTTCTAAATATGTCTACACCAGCGACAATATGTCACTTAAAAGAGTTGTTCAATCGGTATATGGTCAGTGGCGCCTTACTCAGGCAAAGGAAGTAAGTGAATTTTAACAAGCTCCTTAAAGACAAAAATCCACGGAGACTACATACATCATTTGTCAGCCCGATAAGCCGAAGAGATATTCAGTAGTATGCATGCACCAGGGGTGTAATTACTCCTCCTGTTTTGTTGTATTCGTGCTTATTGTAGGAGTCAGTTGGGTATGATTCAATTTAACTTTGTTTTTCGTTTTTTATCTTGTAGCTACAATAGGGAACTGGAGGTTATTCTTAATTATTTACGTAGACGAAGCCATTTCTTGTCAGTATCATGATTTTCCTTCGGTTTAATGACCTGGGATGAGTCGCATTGTAGAACTCGAGATCGCGTTGCGTGACGAGGACCAAACGACGGCTCCATGGGATACTACTTCTATCCCTGTAACTCTGTCTTGTAACTGTCCTATTACATTTGCTCAAGCGTAAATGCAGATAGGGAAGTCAGTACTGAATGCACTTTTGTGCTTAACCTTTACAGAGAGATTGCTTAGTTTCTTCTTCTTTAGTTGGTGCGCTTCGTTTTGCGAAAGTGTTTTACAAGTCATTAAAAATGTTCACGACACACAGAGAAGGCAACTTTCTAGTGTTTCAAATATTTTATCACAATAACAGTCTTTACAGCTTAATTTAATAAATAATGGTCTCAAAGACTGTTGGTGCTATTTACAAATGCAACATTCACAAAGACTAAAAATATAGGAAAAGATGCAGCGAGACCAGATTTTGTCTTCATTTATGAATTTTCACACAGTTGCCTCGTTTCTCAACTTTTTTTCTCTTTGTGTTCACCATACATACACGATACTCATTTTCAAGGCATCGTGGAGATTGCTTGACATCGCAGTGAAGCTCACTGAATGAACAGAGAAATTTGACTTTTCAAGAAAGTAACTTTTATGTACAAATAGGAAACAAACAAACCATCATACCACAGAAAAGCAAATAAGACGACAGAAATAAAACAACAAAAATAGATTTCACAATACCTTTCACGGTAGAGAGTCATTTTGTAAAATTTGAATTTTCATTTAGTCACCTGTTTAATATGGTAAAAACCATCTTTAAAAAAATAAGTTACTTCAATAATTTCCTGACCACACTAGTTCTGTTACTCCATAGAGCCAGATTGAGTTGTCGTAAAACCAACACCAAAGTAATCACAACGGCCAATCATATCAATGGAAAACATCATCGTTTGCCAATGAGAACCCAAGTAAAAACAAGCAAACTGCCTAAAGCGCGGGAAAACGCGGGCGGCCAAGCCACGATAAGTATTCGTTTCGTATCTCTTTGGTTGAGAAGATGGCGCGAGTTTTCTAGAAAAATCACAGAGCGAGGTAAAGCAGAAACAAGTAAACCTGGATAGCTATCGAAACTCAATTTAAAATTTTTATACTTGAGTGAGCAGGTGAAACAAATCCAGTGAAATCCCGTATCACTTTCATTTCTGGTTTCTATCAGTTAAAAGTTAAACTATCAAAGCTGATGGCAATTGGGCGACGGTTTGCTTTAGTAAAGCTGATTCTCTATTTTTTGTGGTTATACACGCATCTTGGAGGTTTGTATCCCTAACTCGGTGCCAACCATAAGGCAAGGTTTGTATTAGAATTCTAGAGTTGCTTCACCAACCGGAAACATAGTTCTGTGAACAGGTGCGAACTGGAACTGCAGCGTCACCGTGGTATCGTAAAAATTACTTGAGAGGTCACGAAAGGTTAAAATCTTCTCAAACTTATACCTAATTGTCAAGCACACACTACACAAGCACTTTTTCTTTTGGATATCAAACTTATCACATGTCCTAAACTTGGTTAAATGGATTGAAGGGTCGGGTTAAAGTCACCATTTTGGACATCGGTCCTTTGTGTCTAAACGGTGACAACTGAACTTTTGTTGGAACTTTGAGTGCTCTGCAAGAAAATAAGAAAAAAGATCAAATATCTTCTTGAGTTGCTTTTTAGGTGAGTAGGTGTTTGAACAAAACTTAACGAATACTGCAGCCTAAAGGCAATCATAGCATTTGAAGAACAATAACACAATCGATCGCAAAACATACCTGTGAATTCTAGCTGTGGTTGTAGCCTTTGGATCCGGTTCTTTGCTGTGCGTAGGATGATGCGATGAAAACAGCACACAGCCAGAGTAGCCGGGAATATTGCCACGCCTTGAACAAGCCAAATAAATATCACTTAGCCTTGGAGCATGTATCATAACATTTACGGGTTAATATTTCATTTGAAACCTCGATACTACTCAGAACCACAAATTCATTTTTAAGTAAAAATAGAAAAGTTTCCCATCAGAAGAAAAGCTTTCCTACAAGCGTCTCACACAGTTTTTCAAGCGATCGGCGTTTAGAACCATAAAAAAAACTGCAATAACCCACTCCTCCAATAGGAAAATTCAAGGGGGCTAAGTCGAGAAACGCTCTAAGAATGCCCCTTTTTCCAAGTCTTTTTGTCAAATAATTTTTTTAAGTAACTACTTTTAAGGCTCTCAAGAAGTTACATACACCTTTCAACCCTGGCAGCAATTATGATGGAGAAGGCAATTTAGTTTTTTTGAACAGGTATATAAGAATTGACCTCTCTCACTCAAGCTCCCAGGTGCTCACTCCCGCTAAAAGTTACAGTGTATGTCTCTTGATGTGCGTTTTTCATTCATTAATTGTCACCCAACATAAACTCCTTGTTATCTTAAACTCCTTCCTATTTCTTCTGGCTGCTTGAATATTTGATTTCTCATTGTACTGACAAGTAATTTTTTCCATAATACCTAGCAGTGTCTGTGTATCTTGGTTGCGAAGTACGCACCACAGCAATTGGTGTGTACGTCTTCCTTGGATGGTCTCTGTCACCAAATCCAGGAGTGTGGCCACTGCAAAGAACCAAACATATTTATCCCTTTAGCTCCCAGAAGTGATCGACACGTTACTTCTCCCTAGAATAACCATACGTTGTCCAACAGACTGGAAATGAGAATACTTAAAGTAATCAGGTAAAAGTTGTTATCTTGATCTAACACCAAATTCTCGCAACTTACTTACAACGAAATGTTTAGCAGAAAGAGGGGAGAATTAACAATCAGATCTTGGGAGTTTAAGGGTGAGAAGTAATCAGACCTTTACAGCAGGCCCCAGTGATGAAGGGCACATTAATAGGTAAAGTTCTAAAGGAATACTATAAAAATAAACTAGTGACAACAAACCTGTATCCTGGTATATGTCCTGTCTTTTTGCTTGGGCTGCAGCTGGATATTGAATGACAAAAATGTCAACTGAGTCAAAAGCTGTTATCAATTTATTTCAGTTTGTTTAACTATATTTTACTGTACACATACCTAATGGTTCTCTGATCTGTCTTTATTAGTGCAATTTATTTTAACAAAATAATCTTGAAACAAGAAAATTTTCAAAAAAGCCAAAAATTGAGTAAATTGCAAAGCTTGTGGTTATTTGACCCAGCATCTGCTTCATAAAGCATTTGGTTACAACCACTCTAAACAAAGACCATATGAAAATCATGGAAAATGTTGGTGGTTAATTATTTCTGAACTGTACAGTTTCAGAATCCTCTTTTATCTATTCAAAGAAAAATAAGAGACTCAAGTCTGCATAGGAGAGGGGAGGGGTTGGCAGTGGGGGTAGGGTGGGGTTGGTGGTGGGGGTAGGGATGGAAGGGAAAGGGAGTGGATCGAGCATAATTTCTGGAATGAATATTGAAGAATTAAACACAGCACATGTGGAGTCCTGAATTCCATAGATCAGCACACTTTTATCAACAGAGGATATTAATTACACTGCAACTACTATAACTAAGGTTATTCACTCAGAAATGGCAAATCTGATCACAAAAAATAAGCTACACGTAATAGCAATTGCTTAATTCTTTGTATGCACTAACTGGCACAACTGAGTGTAGTAAGTGACACTGTTTGTTCCCCATAATATTAATGGAAACCCTGCAAACAGCTCTTCAATGACTTACAAATCTATGGGTCCTTGTACATGGTGTCCATTACGTGACTGAACAAAATCCCAGCTGTGTGGTCTGCTACCAATTTGCTGAAGACACCAAAGTGAAACAGAAAAATACAGTCACACAAATAAAATTAACTAGAGACCAGTGGGTCATTAAATTAACAACACTTAACAGTAACATTTATTTGACAAATGGTTCCTTTGTAATTCAATACTTTGGTCTGTTGGAGATCATAAATTTGACTCCTGACACAATTGGATTTTCTAGCTCCTTCAAACACTAGCTGTTCAAAGCATTCATATCAATAGTGAGCTGTTTATGTCACTCATCCCTAATAACTGGCTTTCAATAACCCTTCCCCTATCCCAGAGTCAAGGTCATTCACTTTGATAGGTCGGCACATGAATGTACTCTACTTGGCTAGTGGCTACAGGTAGTTCCCTACCCAGGGAGTAATTCAATGGCTACTAACAAACTTTCAGAGGAAGATATTAAATTATTAGGGGTAACCTAAATGGCAACAGAAACACATAAGTCCTCACTGCACCTACTCAGAAATATAGGTAAGTTGACAATCTCCATCTACTTAAAACTTGATTTGCAAATTCTTGAGCCTATAGAATGAAGCCATTCCTGGGATTACCTCCAGCAGTGAGGAACATTTTATTTGAGTCTGAATTAAACTGAATCTTTTGATTATTATAGCAAACTGAAAAATTGTATACCTGCCAAAGTTCTGATTTTGGCGCATATCTTTTTGAAGTGAATCTGTATGATACCATGTCTGGCTGCAGTTCAACTGTGGTGATTGGTGGTGGGACAGATGGAGCTATTCTTGAACTCCAATCTACTCCACTGTATAACCTTTCAATAAATGATGAAAATGGCAGTTAAAGGGAGAGAATAATGAAAAAAAAGTGACATAAAAAATATAGCATGTTATCAAAAATGATAATGTCATTATTGAAAAATAGTTTTTTTCTCTATCACATTATACCAGTAATTATAATAAGTCAACGCAATTATAGTAATTTTGTCAATGGCCTTTTTGATCTATTATTGCATTGGCTGGGTAATAAAGGAGGAGGAAAACCTTTATGACCAGGATAAACAATTTCATATTTATTTTGGTCATGTACAACTGATGCATTAAGATTACATAAACCCTTTGTGTCAATGCAATAGAAGCTGTTATTGATACCATTAAGGTGGACTGCATACACAGTGTAAAAGAACCTGCTTTAATTTTTCTTTTTAATTTAAATAAGATACTGAATCAACAAGTGTGAATTCATTCATACATCACTGCTCATTGCAACAGTCAATTTAACAGTTACATACTTTTGAGTTTCTGATGTGTAGAATGATCTTGTTGCCACTGCATCCCTCCATTCTTTGTTCTTTAATAGTTCACTGGCTGGAACCTAAAAAGTTCAGGACAAATTTGCCACTTCTTTTTTATTTCTTCTTTTTGCTAGTAAGAGTGACTCTATGCTTGTGACTGGTCGGTAAAATGTTGACCAGTCAGAATCAACTCAAAGTGTTCACCTGAGTTATCTGAGCAATTTGACATTATCTAGGGACAATTCATTCATTTTTAATGCCACACCAGAATGGAAGGCATCACTTGGCACAAGGCCCTCTAAGATGCAAATTTCAAAGTTGCAATGTACAAAATGTTGGGGTGTTGGAATCTGGCCATCCAAAGGGGAGGGGGTGGGTATTTCACCTTGAAGTTCACAGGGGTAACAAAAAGACTTCTTAGGGATATAAGATTTAGTCTCGACTCAGCTCCAATCATCCTTGGTTACTGACATGTGGTATGAACGCACATCTCTCCTTTAAAAAATAGCAACTAGCTATGATCCATACCTTTTGGGAGATTTCCTTTGCTTCTTTCGATCCGGGAAATTGGCTGGGTTGCTGCAGAAGCCGCTCTAATTCTGCCAAAAAAAGTGATGAATAAAAGTCCCAGTCGGCACAATCTTAAGCTCTGATACCTCGAATCAATTTAATCCTTCATAGAAACCGTAAAAAGTATCAATGTGTATATTTCCAAGCGTTTTGAGCGCTAACTTTAAGTTGAAAAGTTCTCCAAGCGTAACGCACGAAGAAAGAGTTGGCTTCTTCATCCGTGACAGTCTGTCACGTACTATTAACGTTATATGCTAAAAGTTGGTAAATTATGTTGATACTCCAATCTTTACTTAGTACTTGGCGTCAATGAAATTACATAAATCATAAAGAGACTATGCAGTGTTATTCATGCATTTTGAAAATGATTTCTTCTCAAACTAGAGAGTATTATCTCGTCTTCGAAGAGTGACAAAGTCGTGAACATTATTAAAACAATTGTTTGAAGTACTTGAACGCGCACAATAAACTTGCGTACCCCTGCTTTTCGTCTCCCATGGAGCGTTCTGCGACCTCAAGTCCGGAATAGGGGAGACAATCGGTCGTCCGTAAGGCATGGCGGACTGTGGTCTATGATCTTTGTTCACAAGAGGATCTATTTGCTGATAATTTCCATCTTCCGCGTCGGCACCGACTGAAGTGAAACCACTTGTTGGATCGACAACTGGAGTATCGCTTCGCCTCGGTGCGTCGGCGCGACGCTCGCCCTTCTCCGCAAATTTACGAAAAAATGCTTCGTCTTTCTCTTGAAATGAAGCTACATCGTAAGTGGAGAACGTTGCTGGAAATTTTCCGGATGCCTGTTGGCGTCTAAATCGTTGTTCCAAGGCGATAGGGTCTTCAGAGAGATGGAGACGAAATGTGCCGAATGGCGGCCGGGGTAAGGAAGTATTCACCGCCGTAGCCATCCTAGCAAAGCCAAATATAGTCTTTTTGAATCTTCAGATACACATCTTTTAAGTCGACTGTTGTGAATGATTTGGTAGAAGTTACAGATATTGATAAAGAATCTAATTTGTAATGATAGCCTTGTTCTGGAACGTGAACCGTCTGGTCGTCAACATGCGGTTGCTAAGGAAGCTTCGATCGCAGGCTCAAATAGGTCCGCATTGGTATCCAGACAACCAGACGCTCGTAGGTATTTTTTCATAAATCGAGGAGCTTAAATATCTTATTTTCTTATTCATAACGTTCGACGATATTTTCAAGTTAAAATGTAACTTGATGCAAAAAATATCCCGCAACAAAATTAAGGCAGGCTCTGGGGCCAGGACTATGAGATTTGGATGAAATTTGATTTTGAACACTAAATGGATTTTAGACAGTGTCAGTCTCAGTCAGCAACTAGGGTCCGATTTTTGATTCGTACACTTATGGCTGAATATGGATTTTAGACAGTAGTGGCATATTTTAGACACCAATAACCGATTTTTTTATTTTGGACACTAGAGGCAAATTTTGGATTTCAGAAATTGGTGGTTGACTTTTAATTTTGGACACTTAAGACTGTTCTTAGATTTTGGAGACTGGTGGCAGATTTTGGATATTGAAGACTGATCACCAATTTTTTAAATAAGGCAATAATGCTTCTGGACATTAGTGTCCTATTTTTTATTGTAGACATTAGAGCCCAATTTTTATGTCTACTGCCTCCTATATCATAAGAAGCAAAGCCACTATGTTATTGTGATGAGGAAAAATTTTTTTCTTTGAAAAGAGCAGATTTTACTGTTTGAATCAGCGACTTATGTCCAAGAGGGTGCTAAATTTGCAATGCAAGTAAGCTGTGAAATATGATACCTCCAGCCCTATTAAATAAAAGGATGGAACTGAGGTGCAAAATATCCTTAAAAGGCTGAATGCGTTGTTGTACGAAACAAGTCTCACAAAAACGGAATTGCAACAAAATAAGTAAATTATTTATGATATATAAAATTGAGGAAAATGAGCTTTTGAAGGAAATAAATACTAGCAAGCAAACTACATTCTTTTTTATGTGCTGTGCCATTAACTTTAACCTCAAAAATGTTTGAAATAAACGAGAGAGAAGGTGGTTGTTGACCACTTTTATTAGCAATAGGGTGATAAGTAGATGTGTAAAGTTGAGCTTAAAATACTCCTGTTCCCTGGAAAAGATTACATCTCAAACAGGTTTTTTTCTTTCTTTCTAGTAGGAGAATCATTACTCCATAAAGGCATCCCTATTATTCTCATCCAAAAAAGCAGCTACTTGCATGTAAAATATATATTCAGCACTCAGGGCATTAGTTAGTTGGATGCTTTATGTCACATAAGTAATCTACCCAGCTTAAGTATTAACTACATAATAGGGTTACTGTAAAAATAATATTAATTCTTAATTATAATCAATTTAATCAATTTAAAACACCACATAGTAATAATTATAAGTGACAAAGCTTGTGTAAAATGAAAAGGATGTCTTTTTTCTTTTACACTGTAAACTAAACAGGGAGAGTTCATCATCTAACTGATATAAATTCTTAAGAACCTAGAAAATTATTTCTAACTACATTCCCCTCAAATGTAAGTTGACAGTCTTGACTCATGCATAACCTTTACTGCGAAACTGGAAAAAACGTAGGAAGCTTCAGGTTGTCTGAAAAATTAATCATGCTGAACTAATTTTGTTTTCTTGCCTTAAAACTCTAAAAAAACCTCTACACTTGACTCAAACATCTCGAAATAATATTCAAGCCTCATGCCTAGCAACTTTAGGGAATCCCCTATCGAGAATTAAAGACTGAGGATCAAGTTTTGAGGGACTATCAACTTAAATTTAAATGTTACAAGCAGTAATTCTGAATTCATATTTTGCTTTGCAACAATGCATACAAATTCGTGCATTATACTTAACTTCAAAATTAATAATTGCACCCAAATAAAAAAAAACCCCACATTATACCACTACTCTACTATTTTACAAGAGCAAAAGGAGAAGGCAAGGATTATATTTATGCCACAGCTGCATTGTCAAATCGGTGATAGCGGCCATCTTCCACATCTTCTGAGTCTGCATCTTTTCTGTAGAGACCTGAAAATTAAACAACTTATACTCAGTCCAGATTCACTAACCTGCAGACAGAAATGCGAACTAGGTTTGAAAACTAACTCTTCCTGGTAGTTCTTAAGTTAAGTTTTTAAAAATTAAAGTTTTGTTATTTTAGAGAAATTCATAGAACCTTTCCCCACAGTGAGCAGACCATGCCTCTCTTTTTCAAAGCAACCCCACCCAACCCCCTTCCTTTATTATTCATAAAAAATAAAAATTCCAAATTTGTAAAAATCAATGGCACGACAAGCTTTTTAAACATCTCATAGCCAAATGAACAGCTGCAAAAAAAAGAAAAATTCAGAGCACTGTTTGTGTAACTTCATGTTGACTTCAAAGTTTCTAATTCTAAGTTTCTTAATCTTTCATCTTGTTAGGATAATTTTCCTTCATTTTACAATCAAATTCTTGCTCACCACTTTGGACCAAGGTTTTTTTCAGAGCAAGCACACTTTGCTCTCCAAACAAGAACAATGAACAACGTAAGGGTCTTTATTGAGAGTGGTTTTTGGAAAATTTTCTTACCAGTAATTGTGTCAATTTGACACGAAGCACCCAAGCCTGTCTAATGGAAATCTTAAACCTTACCATCCTCTTGATCTGACCATTAATAAAGAAATTTACCATCCATCTTGCAACTGAAATACTTTCAGTATTGCATACACAAAAGTACTGTATACTAAGATTGTAAAATTTCAATTAGAATTCCTCACTTACCATATTTCTTCCTGATTTCATCATGCTTCTTCTTTCTCTCTTCACGCCTTAACAGAGAAGAAAAGCCAACATTAAGTAAAACTACTGGAGGAAACTTAGTTGACATAACCAGGACTCAAATGCAGATGTTTTGATTTTTAGACACTCAGCGTCTACAGCTCCTGTCAGTTACAATAACATAAATTAAAACCTAAAGTTATAACCATGCAAACCTTTCTTTGTGTTTAATCTCTATTTCCTCCCTCTGACGACGCCACTTTGCTTCTTCTTTGCCAGGTCTAAGGAGAAACATTGCAAAACAGTAAGTCTTCTATGTACGTTTGCAATGCAACTGAGGCCATGCCGAGATGTAGAAGTAAAGTTACACACAGTAGCCTATAAGTTGGGACAGAAATCAAAATCTTTATCATCATTACTATATGTATCATGTGATTTACTGTCATACCCTCTTAGCTTCTTCTTGCGGCAACAGCAACAGTAGATACAACATCCTAATGCGACCAGTACCACAAACCCTGCCACTGGAATGGCAATGATCAGGACTTTGCCAGATACTTTAAAAAAATAAACAGAAAATGTAAGTTAAATCTCCAGTAGGTACGTTCAGAACAGAATACATAACTTTTTTTTATTTAAATCTTTCAAGCCTGAGAGTGACCATCATCTCCTTTTTCCTTGCAGTAATGCTGCTGAATTATTCATTAAAATCAAGAGAATGAAGAAAATGATTGCCAACTTTAGGAGCTTTGATTTCAAAACAAATTATCCTTGTCAATACCAAGAGAAATGTACAGAGATAAGTATGGAGAATATAGATACAGATGTTGGGGCTTAAAAGGGTTACCAGTAACCCTTTTCTCCCTAACATCTGTATGCATATTCTCCATACTGTTCTTTATACATTTCCTAAGGTGCTGATAAGGAGAATTTTTTCAACAATCAAGAGCTTCATCTGTTGGAGATCATTCACTTCATTCTCCTGACTTTAATGTGTGATTCAGGGGTGATATAGTAGGGAGAAATAAGATGTTAATCACTCTTAGGGATCAAAGGGTTAAGGCTCAGAGTGGTCATTTCCATATGGGTGAAAGCAATCTGCTATCAATAATAACCCTGAGCACAAAATTACATCAAATCAATGTTTACACAATACATCATCCAGTAGAAAAATTATTGGAAAAAATACATCCACTGTACATAATAAAAATATTCCTTCCAAAATTCCATTTTGACAGCAAGTAAATGATGCAGATCATGTTGTTTAGTTAACCACACACAGTGAAACTTCTTGTTAAAAGTAAAATAATCCTTAGAATAATGAGGGAAACACCCTGAAATAAATTCCTTTACAAGCTAAAAAGCTTATTGAACTTACTAGCATCTTTCTACCAAATTACTAACGAATTACATATATGATGGTTGATTTATCTAGCACAGAACTGGCCATTCTCTCACCAACCAGTAAAATCCTCAATCAATCTACTGTACATTCACTATACAACTTAGAAATTGTACTTACAGTAAGGCTATCAAACTTTGACTTAAATATTAAGAAACAAAACTGTGCACTGTACATCTAAAAGGGAAGAAGTAATTTCCTTTACAAAGACAGGCCACCTTGAACAAACAAATTTACTCACCCACACATTGCTTGTATTTCCAATCCTGGCTTCCACAAGCTTTATTCATTATGCTTTTTACAGAATCAAATTTCACACACTTGCTACTCCCCTCACAAAATGCACACTAAAGTCCAAGAAGAATTTAATGTAAGATAAGGAGATGAATGTTTTTCCAAACAAGTTTTGGACTAATTTGCTGTGATTATCATAACTGGGCAGCCATTTTGCTCTCTTCAAGCACAAGCTGTATGATCAGAAGTATACCTGGTCTTATAAGGGCAGAAATAATATTTTACTGCAATTGTCTGTATACTTCTGTCAACCACTGCCTTGTCTTTAACTTTTAAAGATTAACTATCAAATCTTCTCCCTAACAATTAGTAACTGTTAAAAAAGTCTTTTCCAGTACATTTCCTTCATATGCAACCCTATTTTTTCACACAAGATCTCATTAGTAATTCTCCTTACTATCAGCCATACAATTCCTTTAGTATAAGTTTGGAGAATTTGGTATTAGATGATTACTTCTCTGCTTGATATTGAATTGGTATTATAAGGAGAAATTCTGTCTTGGTCAATCATGGGAGCTAAAGGGTTAAGTCTGAGATCGCAGAGCTCCACTGTGATAAATACTTAACGGTGGCTCTAAATACAAGCAAAATGAGGCAGTTCCTGTTTTCTAACTAGCGTACTGACTAGGAAACGTGTATCTAGTGTGTTTAAGTAAAGAACAATGCTTTAAAAAGAATATGAAAAAAAATTTAAAATTACATGGACAACTGAGTATATTTTTACTGTTAGTTACATAATATTACTTTGTGGAAAGTCACACTGCTAAATCCTACACAAGTGAACAATACATTATCAATACAAAGTTTGGGTCCTATTTGCAATCAACTCCACAGTGTCTTTCGTGCCTTCTAAGGATTACCTCCTTGATTAGCACAAGGGTAAAATTATTTTGGCTAAATATTACATTCTTTACAAGGTTGATTATTCATCAAAGGTAAATATTGATCCCATTATTTTTGACACCAGTTCTTGTTTTCATGGCTTTTGATTTCGCTGTGATTCATAAGTTAGAATAGCAATGAAAAATACTTGACCAATATCATGGCTACCTAACCTAGTGCTGAGTCATGAGTCAATATGATTATGTAACAGAACATATGAAGACAGCACTCACCCCATCCTGTTCAATACAATCTTTGCAGGTCTGGTTACTGTATTGAAGGCACTTGTCTGTAAATGAGTAATAACAAAGTACAAAAATTATTTTAAAGATTGTGATTACTTTTAGAATATACAATCCAGAACTCTCAAATCTTATGTATTGAGCATAAAACACACAAAAATGAGTTCAATCTTTGGCTCTCACCCTGAAACTGTAATTTCTCTCACATTTAGGGTTTCTGATTTAAACTGCTGATTTTTAGATAGCAAACTGCTGCTTTATAATATCTATAAAACAACTCAACCTTTTAAACATAATTTGCTCCTTGTTCCCTTGCACTTGCTTTGAACACTTCCCTACATTGGAAATTCTTGCTCAGAATAAAGGAATACTTATCTCATGTACTTCAGTTTGTTCACAATTTTCCAGGAGAGTATGCCCTCCCCCCCACCCCATTATCCCCTCCCCTCCATGGAAAGTAGTGTCTGTGACATCATGATCAATGGCCGTGGGGTCAAAAAACTTCCTCTTCAACAAATTGAAGACTCTAAATGATCTCTATCAAACCAGGGAAGTTATCATCCAAACTAACCAAAGATCTGCCTGTCTAGGCATGCAACTTCCTCATTGTAGTCTCACTTGAACCACTCAAAACAAAGGTATTTTTTAAGGATAACCAATCAAATTCAACATAAAACAGAAAAATTTCCTTTTCTACATATTAAGAACATTTTTCAGCTACCGTATTAACGAATCTTATCTGGCAAACTTTGACTGGCTAATTGATTGGAAAGAATGTCATGTTCAAGCAGGACTTCCTTGAAAACTGATAAACCCTATTTCAGTATTTCAGACAATAACATCACAAAAATAAGCTTCCGTGATCTAAGATAGTGACATTTGACTGGTGACCAAATCTTTCTTGATTCTGAGGATCACATCAGCTCAGGTTGTTCCCACATACATCAACAGACGTAATGAGTACTTATAAACCCTACATAAAGGACTGCATGTTTCATAAATAATCCCAGATTCAAACAATTCAATTTTTTACAGGCACAATGATAATTCTCTATACATTAGATACATGCCTTTTTTGTCCTTTAAACTGTACAAGCCATCTTAGGAAATATTCTCAAGTAATGCTAAGTGTAAACATGACAGTGCAATAACTTTAATTTATATCTGGGGTCCCCTAAAAAATTCAACCATGATCGAGCTTTTTCCACTTGAAATACCTAATCTAGAGACAAACTTGAACTCAAGATAGTTGGTGTTTCTGATAAAAGTCCAAACACAGACAGAGCTTGAAAAGATAGTCAAATTTATAACCTTAATTTGTATCTCGTTCTATAAAATCTGGTTTCACGTTAAAACCTCTGTAAGGGCAAAAGACATAATCTGTCACCAGTTTGCGACGAGCATACTTCTCCTCGAGCAACAGTAAGACTTGCTTATCTAATGTGTCATCCTGATATCGACATCTCGTGTAAAGTAAACAAATACAACGAAAAAAACAGCATAATACTAAAAAGAACTGTAACATTTTCGCAGGTCTTGAAGACCTATAATGCTGGTATACAACTTATTCGCGTCTTTTTAACACTTGAATTTTAATATCTGTCTATAATCAAGCTATCAGAAATACCCATAGGGATAAAAATCAAATGAGAGAAGAATTGAAAGCCAGAGTACGTACTTATTTCAGTTTTGTAGATCACGTGAAAATCGAGTCGCCCCTCAAGGCTTAAATTTATCGTTGTGTACACACATTCTGTACATAACGATTCCCCTGTTAAAGTCGTTTCTGTCTGATTCAGAGCTACAGCACGTAACTTTGATTCATAACGTGTCAAAGAACATCGCTTTACGTGTTTCAGATACATCGGAGGTCCGTGATCGGACGTGTGAGATATTGAATTCCTATATATGGCTCTGAACAATCTACATTCAAACAGACGATCACTTCATCAACAATTTGACCCACCTTCTGCTTCTTTAGTTCCCAGACATAGTTGTACAAGGGAAAGCTGTATCAAACAAACCAATAAAAGCACAAAAGCACACGAAACACGGTTGTAAGGACGCATCATAACTCGAGGCCTCAGTGTTCTTTCCTCAATAAAGATTTCTACGCTGTCATATGAACTCTGGGAAGGCTATGACGTCATCACCTTTCATTGTGTTCGGTTGTTATTGACATCATCCACAAATTTGATTGGCTTGTTAAAAGTTGTAATTGCGATTTATTACGCTTGAAAAAAATTAAAATATTCATTTCACTTTCTGCTAAGATTGCCAATTGTTTGTTATATCAACCAGTTATGATTCATTTATTCTTCGAGAACTCGACTCGAGCTGATACGTGGAGCCATCCACTGGGGGTGGCGTAGTGGAGATGGGATTATGTTCCCGAAATATGATAACAGTACAATTATGCTTTGGTGAATCATTGACGCTTTATCACTCGCTAGGTTCGGAAAATTTGTAAAAAAATGCTCTATCATCGATGCACTATGTGTTTTGTCGTTGTTTGTCCGTTTTTTATTTTGCTTTCGAGAAAAAGTCTCTCTGCCTCATTCGACATGCTTAAACGTAACGCTGGGAGACGTTCGGGGAACCAATAAGGGTCCAGTACATCTTTTCGAGATATATACACTGGTGAGTTTCCGGGATAAAATTTACTTAAGAACATGGAAAGGATATTATAAAGTTTTCTCCGTAACTGGAACCGCTTTGTTTGGGTTTTTCTTTCTTTTTATAGGTTCTCGAGAAATTACTTATTGGCTTTGCGATTGGACTTTGTCAGGTAAATAGCTATTCAAAATTATGAGTTTGTCATTTTTTTTTTAAAGTCAAAATATTTAGACAACTTAATGGCTGTCAAAAAGAGTAAGTATGAATATTTTACTTGGTGACTGACCTGCATTTGAAATTGCAGTATGGGGCACGAGTTGATTTACCTATCAAACATCAAATGTTTCAGACGCACGTAGATCTTAGCGATAGAAATGCTATGAATATCTTAGCCTGAGATCGCATTAATTAACCGTTGTTATCCGGGTAGTAGTTTTAGGTCGAACCAGTGTTATCCGAAACCAAAATAGAAGGACCTTTCATTGAAGGTAAGAAACTTTAGTTTCAGATAAACTTTACAAGTTTCTAATCAAGCCAACCTTGGTTTTAACATGTGGGAAATAATATTTACTTTGAGCAAAACAAAGAAAAGTCCAGAACGGACTGGAAAGAAAACCGGATAGTGATGCTCCACATGATTTGTGATCCATCCTTTCATTGCTATCCATCCTTTCATTGCTAAGTTTACAAGGTTAACACAATGATGAAGGATCGCTTTTCAAATTAGCTTTGCAAGAAAATTTCCGTAAAAGTTGAACAGAACTGATAAATCATGGTTCAAATGAATGAATAGGTAATCCCTTAAAGATTTTCTGATGTACTCATCGACCGCTGATTACAATACATCGGCCTCGAATTTTAGAGGAAGTCTGTTTGGTCACAACAAGAGATTAGAAACAATTCTCATTCTCTTGATCACTTTCGGCGCATTTCGGAAACAGTGTCACATCAATTTTTCATGTACCAGTTACATGCAATCCGTCGGTGTACATATCCCCCGTTCTTGTTATACTTTGTCATGTTCGTTCAACTCTCCATCGCAGAATGATATAGATCACAATGAAGTAGACGGCGTCATGCCTATGTCTAACGAGATGAGACGGTCCAGTACCAGCACAGCGAACCATCCCGAAAGAAATATAAATGTTTTTATTAATATTGACTCCCATACAAAATGTCGCCAAAATATTGGCACACCCTCGAAAAATACCTACAAATGGAAAAATTAAAGAGAGGTGAAAAAACTCACCTTAAACGAAAGTCGCCACTTTCCATCTTGAGAGTTATTGACGTGTTCTAGTTTAGTGATGCATCCGCCACTATAGACAAAAAGATATTTAAATATCAAATAATGCTAAAAACTCGTCCTGAAAATCAAATCTAACCCTTCAAAAAAAAGCAACAACAACAACAGAAAGGAAGACCATCAACCAAAGATGAAAGCATCTCTATAAATTTCCTCGTGTGCATTTTTCGTTTGTTTGAGACGACTAGCTTTTATTCAGAAAAGATAAGCAATGACGTATGTGTAATGGTTTTCCGAGAAAATGAGACTAACCACGTGACATATCGTTTTTAACCAACTTCCTGAATTTCTAGGAAACAAAATTTTCTGTTCTTAGGAATCGTTTCAAACACAATTTGCCTTCATTTCGCCGAAGAATTTGTGGCAAAAGATGGATTTCATGGAAAAGACGACGAGGTTTGTAAAAACTAGCCCCAGAGTTCAGTAAATTATCTGAATTTATAACATAATAAGAAAAGCTCAAGCAAAATTGCGAAGGTGTGAAGTCAGTTAACCTAACAAAAGTCCTTTGTTTGAGTCATCCGTTTGCGAAATAAGCATCAATTATGGAGCTGCAACTCGTAATTTTAGTTATCCTTAGTAGAAGCATCAACACCATCGAAATGCTTTCAATATTGAATCTCGATGCAGTTATGTAGCAGCAGTATTCGCAAGGAATTTCACCAAGAAATGGGCAAAATACACTATGTTGCAATTTTGAACGTAAGGGGGGTTTTTGAAATATTCTTATTTACCAGCGGTTGAATTTCGCATAAAGAGCTCATTCACCGGCATTTGCCATGTAGATCAGTTAATGATATACAGCAGCGAAGTTCAGCCGAAATTAACTTTAATAAATTTCTACTATTAATGATTGAAACACTTTTTAGATAAGCCATTCTTGCAAAGCCAAGGATTCCATCGTATCTTTAACAATGGGTGAGTAGCAAGTTTGATTTTATGTTTTCCACATGTTATCTTTGTTAAAACGCAAGGAAATGTTACGTACTTTAAGATATAAACCTTTCATAACCGGAATAACCTCCGTGCGAAGTTGGCTCCATGAAATATCACTTCTCTAACTACAAAGAAGCCAGTAAGAGTTTTAAACATCACGTATTGGATACCCCACCATTGGCTAACCAGGTGGTGAAGACGTCAGATAAATGCAGATAGACAATATCTAGCGCTACCCAAGTACAAGAGGAGGCAGTTCAAACACTGGTAGACAGTGTAAATAAACAAGCAACACTGACAGGTAGTGTTAAGCATCAGGCAAACCATGTAGCAGAACTTATGCTACAGGGGGAAGCTATGTGTAGATTAAATATGCAGGGCAGAAAGGATGCAAGCACACAGGAAGTAGAGAAGCAGAACGTCAGTACATTATACAGTTGGTAATGTTACTTGGTATAGAGTATAACCACAGTCATTTACAGGAGGAGAGAGACTGTTTGACAGCAGACAGAAAGATTGTGACTGTGAGTAACGAATATGAACCTGCAGCTTAACAGGGTTATACAAATCATTGTGTGTATGCATGCATACATGCAATACATAACCACAATATTCTGTTTTGGCAGAGGATACTGCAACAAAGCATCTTCAGGGTTAGTAATTAAATGCTGACTGGTCAAGGTACCCAGCAATACATCTTCAATTAGATGCAAGACAGCATGGTGATGCTACATAGTTATGCTAGTAGTTAGATGCTTGGACCCAAGGAGTTAGACATTTGTAATTTTTTATTTAACTATTGAACTGGTGAAAATTATGGATGAATTTTTTTGATAGTCACTGACGATATCATTTTTCTTATTAGCAAATAATGACGACGATGGATTTGATTTGATTAGGCCATCTTTGATCCAGCAATTAAGAACCATCCTAGATCAGTACCCAGATGATGGACAGATATTGAAGGTATGAAGAAAAGAGGGCTACCACAACCAGTTCTCTGAAAAGTGGGGGGAGTGGGTTAGTGTTACTTTTAGACAACCATCCTCTCAATTACTGTTGTGTGAGGGTTAAGCGACAGAAGTGCCAGACCTCAAGTCAAATATCACAATTGGGTAAAGAAGATACCTGTTTATATGTTGAGTTCATATGGAACAATGATGCATGCAAGAGTTATCAGGTCTTTTCATTTATGTGTTCTTACTTCATATATCTTTTCTGGTCTTCTGTATTTTACATCTTGAAATGTGTTTTGTTGTATCAGGAGCTCATCCAAAATGCAGAGGATGCACACGCAAGTCATGTAAAATTCCTCTACGACAAACACAACCATGGCACAGCCAAACTTCATCACCAGGGTCTTTCTCAATTTCAGGTAAATTTGTTTATTGATGTGCAAACTTTACATTCCTTTTACTTCTCACTATTACAGTCAAAAATAACTTGTTGGCTTGAATCAATCAACTTTTTAATTACTTATTTCGGTATTAAGCAACAATTTATTTTTAGTTAAAAGCTCCATATAGATTATACTCAACTAAATCTGGGTGGTTAATACAAACTGGTCTCTTTATTGTGAATAACACATCCTGACTCATTAATAGTTCGTTTTGTGAGGTGACTTCCTGATTGTTTTTATGTAACAGGGCCCAGCACTTTATGCATATAATAATGCTCAGTTTACAAAAGATGACTGGATGGGCATACGGATGTTGTGTGATAGTATCAAAGTCAAAGACTCGATGAAAGTTGGCCGTTTTGGTCTTGGCTTTAAGTCTGTTTTTCATATGACAGGTGAGTCTCTTAAATTGCTATGTTCTCAGAACCTAACGTGAATGTTTCCAAGGAATTTTCCATTATATTGACCGTTTGGATAGACAGTCGTAGATAAATACTCTGAAAGAATCCTTTAAATGAGTTTTAATTTAGATTATTTTCTTGTCATTTAGTATTTGTTTACATATTTTATACTTATTTTATGTGAGCCTCTGGCTTGGGAGTCTGTTATCACTCCTTACATTTTGACAAAAGTTAACAAAAGTTACCGGTTCATGATTTTAAATTGCAATGCTAAGAATACAAATAGACATCAAATTTAACAGAGAAGCTTACCATTTGACGGAAGGTTGCAAAATTTTGGATGCGTTTTAAATTGTGAGATTTTTCAGGGGATTGTTTTTTTTTTTCGCTGATTAATAGTAAATCGAAAAACTAGCCGAAGTGAAAACCCGGAAAATATTCATACTTGAACGTAAAATCATGCTTGTGCTATCCTTGCAGATACAGTTATTACCTTCGTGTGATCGTATTTATCTCTGCTATGCTTTCTTGGTGTTTTGAAAAACAACAATTTTTCTCCGATATTGCAAAGATGTGTTCCTTTATTTGATTGTTAAAATGCGACAAAGTTATTTGTGTTCGTTTTCAGATTTACCAAGTATCGTAAGTGATTCGCAGATCGGAGTGATTGATCCGCACGAAAAGTACTTTAGCGACGAAAATGGCAAACGAACCGGGCACAGGTGGCGATTTAAAGAGGACCGAGACATCATAAACAGCGTCCCAGACCAGTTTCAGCCGTACAAAGGAATACTCGATTGTACAGAGGAAACCTTCAAACAGGGATCCTATAATGGGACATTGTTTCGTTTCCCTTTAAGGACAGAACCATCCAAGCTATCGCAGACGCTATACAACACCCAAAAGGTGCACACGTTGTTTGAAAGTTTTGAGGCAGATGCTCATTTGATCCTTCTCTTTCTTCAATATCTGGAATCCATAGAGCTCTTTGTTCGAGAAGAAACGGACAGTGACGCCAGAAAAACCTTTCAAGTCCGAATCACCGATAATACCCTCAAGTTAGTGCGAGAAAAGAGGAATGAGTTTCGAAGCAAGATCTCATCAGCTGAACTATTGCCAGCAACTGTTAGGGTAACTTATCCTATCACAATTGAGGCAATTACTTACTCCAAAGGCACGCCAAGTGCGTCAGAGCGACATTCGTTTCTAGTTACTAACTACTTTTGTGGAGGAGAAATCTCGTCACAATTTAGAACCTTGGCTTCAGATCAAGATCTCAGCTATCTGCCTCTGGTAGGTGTCGCCATGGAGTTGCCAGAACACCCTGGAAAAGAAACGCCAGACATGAAAGGCCACGTGTTTTGTTTTTTACCACTACCAGTACAGAAGACAAGTTTGACAGGATTGCCAGTGCACATCAACGGCTTCTTTGCTTTGAGTCAGAACAGGCGATACATTAAGACGCCTACAGCTGAACAAGAAGATCTGGCTGACAAGGAAGGCCAGCCCCTGACTGACAAGTCATTGTTATGGAACCAGTGTCTTCTGCAAGAGGCCATCCCTAAAGCGTATGCTTCTCTGCTGCTGGATGCTATGGACGAGCAGAACTACAACGTGCAAAGCGAAGCCGTGTACAAGTAAGCGTGTGTGCCCCTATAATATAATTGCCTCTTTTGCTAATACTATATGTAGCAAAGAGCTCAAGAAGACGAGTTGACAGAAACAGCTAAAATAGATTGAGACATGCAGTCGGTCTGCTTTAAGACTGATTGTGTCTCTATTGTTGATAAAAGTCTGCTAATCTCATGCTTAAATAGTTTATGGATCTAAAAGTCCTTCTTTAGTTTTAACAGTTTTCCATAATTTCTCCTTTGAATAGAGCATGGCCTGATACAACTAACATCGACCAGAAGTGGAAAAGAGTGGAGAAACCCCTATTTGAGTTGCTTCTCGACAAAAACATCATCTACACTCCGGCTCAAGGGGGAAAATGGCTAAAATTGAAAGACGTGATTGTTCAAAGACTTGCAGAAAGTGATCCTAAGGAACTGCTGGTAAACGTTTTTCTTGCAGCGAATGAAAACGTAGCCTGTTTACCCGAACACGCCCTAAAAGCCATTTGCTTGTACTCAACTTTTAGTGCAGAAATAACACCTTCGTTGACGCGAAGAGTCCTAAAGAATGTCCCCTCTAGCTACTCAAACTTAACACGCTTAGAAAAACTTTTGCTGTTGAAATTTGTTCTCAAAGACGGTTGCCTTTCTGACCTACTTGGATTGGAGCTGTTGCCGATTTCCAACGAGCAGTTCATGTCGTTTTCCAATACGGGAGAGACTGTTTACATTTCGTCACCAGCACATCCCCGTAAACTCTTACCGTGTCCACAACAAAAGTTCCTTGATGAGAGCATCGACAAAGATTTGTCACGACAACTAGAGGTAGTCGCAAGACAAGGTATTCAATTTAGAAGTAATTGTTACAACAACGAAAAGAGCCGTACGGAGAATTAAGCTAGTACTCTGCATCTGAAAATATATTATACTTAATCGTTTTAGGTTACTAAGTCTAGTACCTTGAATTGCACAGTGCCAAATTTTAAAAATCATTATATATTATTCCACGGAAGAAATCGAGACAATTGAGATCTCTGAGTTACTTTTTTGCTATCATGTAAGCAATTCACAATTATTTTACCATCTTATTTTCCAAACATCTATGCTTTTATATGGTAACCTGCTCCATTTATGCAAGACATGTTTTTAAAATAGTGCCGTATTTAGATGCAGTATGTCTAAAGTTTTTAACTTATAAGAGCAAACTAAGATTTGCTGAGGAGTCGCGTTACTTTTCGAACAGGATGCACTCAATTACAGCATTTCACCAAAGATGACGTTGCTAAACTTCTCCCGGCGTCACTACCACCTGGATGGTTAGAGGGACAACACATTTTGTGGAATCCTGGAGTCGGAGGCCATCCGTCCAATGACTGGTTAGGAAACTTGTGGGCATACCTGGGAAAGAACTTCCCCTCTGAAGACGAGCTGTGCAGACTTGAAGGCCTTCCTTTACTTCCACTAGATATGTCGAAAGCTCCCATTACCCTCGCGAGACTTAAAAAGCTATCTGATGTTGTCGTGAGAAGCCTTCATGGCGATTCTTTAGACGACGCTCTTGTCGGAGCTTTGAAAGAGTTTGGTGTTACAGTAATGCAAGGGTATCCATGGTTCCTTGGTCTGCTACCTGCCGTTTCGGAAACATTTGTTAATCCACCATCAGTTCAAGGGGTCTTAAAAGCTGTGGCAGCTTTTCTCTCCTCAAAGCCCACCACGGCGCAAACCATAACAGACGATGGTAAACGATTCTTGAGGAAGTTTTTTGCCAAAGCCTCATGGCTCAGTCCAGATGAGAAGAAAGTCTTAAGCTGCATACCGTTGTTTGAGACTATTTCTGGAGCCTTTGTTTCAAAAAATGATGGCCTCTGCGCTGCATCTGAAGAAGCGTTTCCGGTGAAAATCCTAAGAGATCTCATCGACATTAGAGAGAACGATGCAAAGAGATTGGTTGGTTTGTTAGACATCAAAGTCTTGACACGTTCTGAGGTTTTGCTTGAGGTGATATTTCCGGATGTAATACATCAGCGTTACTCCACTGAAGAAATTGACAGACTCATGGGATTCGTGATGGATAGATATCACATTTACACCGCGGAGGATGGGAGATTTCAGAATCAGTTAAAAGACCTGCCCTTTGTCTCAACTAAAAATGATAGAATGAGACCTAAGGAGGTATTTGATCCCAGAGATGACTTCCTAAAAAGAATTTTCGTGGAAGAAGATGTGTTCCCTGTTGGGAAGTATGCTCAACCTACAGCTCTAGTAGTTTTAGAGTACCTCGGCATGAAAGGCAAGGGAGAAATCACCGGGCAAAAAGTGTACGAAAGTGCAAAAGCTGTGAATAATATCCTTGACGTTGCTGCAGCAGAAACGAAGTCATTAGCGATCATGTCATTCTTAACTAGCAATCCAACAAAACTTGAAGAGATCGTCTCTGGAACGTCAGGATTAGGAGAGCTCGGGATACATCTTAAAAATATGCCATGGGTCTCGGTGATCAGACGAAAACCCGATGACTACCCCGAAAATCTTCCGTTCTGGGGAGAAACGCACACAGAACCTTATTTCCTAAAGCCTTCAGATGTCAAGTACAAACAAGCAGCAAACATCATTGGATCGACAAAAGCACTTGTCAAAGCTGAGCCGTCTAGCCAATTAACTCGCTTCTTTTCATGGAACGCAGACCTGGCTGCTTCGGACGTCGGGCAGCACTTGCAGAATGTAATCAGAGCCTACAGTCCACAAGAAAAGCCGCGTTATATTATCATCGCCCAGGAAATTTACGCCTTTCTCAGTTGTGCACATCATGACGAAGTACTTGCTGCTTTGGAGAATGTCAAGAACCTTCCGTGGATTTGGAATGGAGATGGATTTTCTTCCCCTAGATTCCTGATATCTCAGAAACCTCCGATTGATCTATCGCCATATATCTTTTCCCTTCCCTCTGAGATGGGAAGATTCTATGGCCTGTTTGCAAAGTTTGGCTTACAAGAGAAGTGCAATGAAGCATTCTTACTCGAGGTTCTTCACCTAATAAAAGAGA